TAGTCGTGATGAAGCGGCTTTGAGATTCTTTTATACGTTTCAAGGCGGTAATAAACCAATTTATTTGTGTAGAAGTACCGATGTGGTGGCTCATGTCGCAGGTCACGCTTTCTTGGATACCTTGCAACCTAATTGGCAAGCTAATGGACAAACTGGCGCTTTCCATGAAGCTTTTGGTGATTTATGTAGTTTATTTGTCCTCATCTCTATGGTAAGTATGGAAACGAAAAAAAAACCCCCCGAGAATAATGAAAAAAAAATGTTAACACCAAGTCCTCTAATACTAAAATAAAAAAAATTTCTACTAGGCGGAAATTGCGGATTGATTAATCACTACGACAAAAGCGAATTTAAGAGCCCCAGACAATTTCTTATCGGCAATCGGGGAAGAATGTGGTGATACGTTGTACAAAAATAAAGGAAAAGGGTTAAGGATTTTATCCAACACGTTTAAAGGTTCTGAAGTTGGGTCTGAAGTACATGATTTATCGATGGTAAGCTTAATTTATTTATTATATACAGTTCTATGATTGATTGATTGGCCTTCTTACCCTCTTTATAGGTTTTTAGCGGATTCTATTATGATGTATTGGCTGATATATTCGCATTGGAAAGAAATCCAACCGTTAGGGGTGATACCGAAACGTTAATGACCGTAAGCATTGATATTTTCACTTTGTTGTCTGGTTTTATTTTTTAGTTAACTTTATGTTTTCACGTGATAGGTTGGAGCTTACTTACGAAGAGTCCTCATAATTGCAATACGTGTTTCCTCTCATCAACCAACGCGAACAAAATTCCAGGAGATTGCAACTAATTTGGATATCGCAATTGGTACTTTAAGCAGAAAATTAGGAGTGGATTTAACCAGTTGGAGACAAATCGTACAAAAACATGCAAAAGCAAGAGAATTATCAATTGCTGGAAGACGACATTTTTAAGTTATTACATAGTTTTTAAATAGATAATATTTTATTATATATAATTAATGTAATTTAAATAGTTTGCTTATTACTGCACCTATTTAGGAATTGTTTAAATATTTAATAAACATTTTATATTTTTATTTTAAATTTATAATATTTTTATTATTTTTAATAATTTATTTATAGGAAAGCAAATCGACTTGATGAAAAGTATCTTCCCTTATTATATGATTTATATGATTTAGAACTTCAAAAATTAAAAAATACAATTATTGACAAACTTATTTGATGTTGTGGTCAATATAATTAGTTTTGGTAATCAAACCTAATTAGCTAGAATTTTTAGAAATGTAGATGCTTTATCTTTTTCACAATTTGTAATGAATAAATACACTTCACTTTTATAAAATTCCTATCAAAACGTTATTTTTTTTATAATAAATAATGCCTCTTATACTTTAATTCAAGAATGGGCCATTTATTGTGTTTTAATGAATTAGATGAGAAGTTTGTAGATATAAATATATATTGGCATAGTAAAGATATTATTATTAGAACTTAGTGCATTAGCTTTAATATATCAATTTATTATAGCAAAAATAAATGTAAAGTATAAAATATAACAATTAACTTCCAAAAAAATTTAATTATTAATTAATAAATTATAATTTATATTACCATTTAGATTGATGTAAAGAAAATTAAGCATTTGAATACTTCTTTTTTAAGTGTTTCATTCTATCGATAAAATTGTTTTATAGCTAGAAAAGTTACATTCAACATACGATACTGGTAACCATATCAATTTGTCATAAATTTATAAAATTTTGATTAAAAGTGATTTTTTTGCGATAAAAAACATAATGGCCTTAAATAGAGAAATAATAGAAATAATTTTAATCAACTTTCTCTTTTTAAAAATTTATAATTTCTAAAAAATAATTTTACATATCTAAAAATAAATTTATTTAATGCTTAGATACTTAGATAATATTCTTAAGTTATTATTAAAAAATTTGTGTAATCTACTAGAATATAGTCTTATTTGCTAAATAGAAGAAATTTATGTATTACTTAAATTATGTTACTCATAGGTAATTGCAAATTGTAATAGTTAATGTTGTTATAATGTTGATTTTTCATGAAACATTAAGATAAAATTTATTCGGTTAATGTGATAAATCATTTAAAAAAAAATAATAAATTTTGAAGAAAATAAAAAAAATTTTCAAAATAGAATAATTCGATTCTTATTGTAATAGATATCAATTTTTTTATTTTATATTTCAAAAAAATTTTCATATAAATTGTTTAGATTTCAATAAATTAAGCCACATGCAACTAATAATTTTTTAGATAAATACTAAATTTGTATAACAAATGAAGCATCATTATGCTTTCCAATTCAATAATAAAAAACAAAATAAAGTTTATGAAAATATTCATCCAGATGAATGAATAAGAAATATTAAAGTTTTTATAAATTTTAGCAAGTTTTAAATATTGTATATACATAATTTATCATTATGATATTTCATTAGTAAATCCTATTATTAATTATAAGATCATTTGAAGTTAATGATAAAAACAGTCATTTAAAGAAATTAGCTTATAATTCTAGTTAATATTTAGTATTGTATATTGAAAAAATTATTATAATATTAGAATGATAATTTTTTTTTTTTGCAATTTGATGCTTTTATTCCTTTTTACTGGATCTATATAAAGATACATATAAGATGAATAGCAATTAGTGATACCTGACGAAATTACCTTTCTTAATATGATAAAATTGACTAAACCGAAATGACGAAACTAGTTTTTTATTAATAACAAAATTATTTTACTTAATTTCTGAAATTATATTTAACTTGATCTAAATTCCTTGAATTAAAATACATTAAAAAATATAATAATTTTATATTTATTTATATAAAAATATTAAAAAAACGAAACTTTTGACAAAATTATAATTTTTCAAAAAAAAGTTTAGTTAGATATCACTAATGGCAATACTTTATTGGTTGAAATCTATTAATTTTTAACTGTTGAGAGTTTTGCTAGAATTAAACTTAAAATTATATAAATTTTAGATATATTTAATCAGACTAGTTAATTAGTATAATAGTAGTTTGATAGTTGTAATCAAAACTGTGTTGAAAAGCTAAAATCGAAGCGAAAGTTTTGTCATTACAATAGTAAGTAAGGAATTATAAATGATTTTTAATTTTAAATAATATACAGTAAATATATTTTAATAAACTGCAAATAATATGATTATGGCATCATTTTATTTAATTCATTTAAAAATTTAATACTTAGCATGAAATTTAAATTTTATTTTAAAGAAATTAAATATCAAATAAGATATTAATTTTGCTTAATAAGTTCAATATGCCATTAAATAAAAAAGCATATTTCAATAAAATAAAGTAATTAATTCAATAATAAAAATATTTATTATATTACTTCATTATTTCTTTCTAGTTTTTTTTTATGACAAGTAACTTTTTGAAAAGTATTTTTATTAATAGTAATTTGAATATCATGGCTACATAAATATTCATTTTGATTACTAAGATTAATAATATTATTTAATTTCAAATAACCTTGATAATTTTCTAATTTACTATAATTAAATTTCTATAGACTTTTTGAATTTGAAGAGCAATATACTAAAATTAATAAAGTATTATTATTGATCTATTTTAAAAAAATAATATGAATTGACTAAGATACTAGAATTATAATATCTTAAATAATAGGATTTCTCAAAATAAAATCAAATCAAATATTTGTTAAATCAAATCAAATCAAATCAAATATAAAAAAATTTTAATTTTTACAATAATATATTAAAATAAAATTATTCTAAAGTTTTAATTAAGAAAATTTTTAGTAATTGCACTAAAAAATTTCAAAGAAAGCTTTTATGAAGTAAGTTTAGTAACAGGTAAATTTTTACTATTAAACTTAATATAATTATATTGCAGTCTCAGATTTACTAAGAAAACTTAGTAATAACCGCTATTATAGCTTTAGTTAACTAAGAAAACTTAGTAATAACCACTATCGCGACTTCAGTTTTACTAAGAAATCTTAGTAAAAACTACCATTGCAGCTTCAGTTTTACTAAGAAAACTTAGTAATAACTGCTATCTCATCTTCATAACCATTTTATTAGTAAAAAAATATTTTTGAAGCTGCGAACATATTTTTTATTAGGTTTCTTAGTAAAAAACATCTATAAAGCTATAGAGGCATTTTTTATTATGTTTTTTTTTAGTAAAATAGTATCTTTGAAGCTACAGAGGCATTTTTTACAGCATATTAAACATTTGTATAATTGGCTATTACACAATAAATGTATAACGTAACTATTTATATAGTTTAAAGTAATATAAGGTGAGTGTTGGGAAAATGGACCAAATTGATTTTTTTTTTAAAAAAAAGTTTCTAAGTAAAATAGATGTAGATTAGGTCATCTGATTCAGATCATTTGTTATTTTAAAAAAAAATTTTTTGTCGATTTGGTCTCTTTTCCCAGCATTCACCTCATATATTAGCATTAGAATCTTTTTATGTAATGATAAAAAACTACAATACTATTATCGTAAACATTATTTACAATATATTAATAAAACTAATCCTGTTAATCACATATTTTAAAATAAGCAATTCTGAATATTATAATGGAAATTTCAAAGTAGCATTTACAGAAGAAACTTATTAGACCATATGTTATTTATGAAGTAGAAGGAACTGAATTTAAGTTTTAGAGATTTACAAAAGATGCTAAACACAAAGTCTTATAACATAAAACTTTGAATACTACCTGATAATTAGATATTACACAGTTTTGTCATAGTCATTATATGAAATATATTGTAAATAGTAATATTGGAGAAACTTTAAAAAGACAAAGGAAATTAGATAATATCATAATCATAGAAATTGATTATGATGGTGAACCTGAATTGATAATAGATATTGACTTGAAAAAAAAGATATCAGAGGTAAAAGATGATAAGAGAGTTGATGAAATTAATTTTATTAAATCAATAGTACAGATTTTTTATGCAAGAGAAAAAAAGAAAAGGAATTGTTAATTTATGATTGGAAATTACACAGAATAGATATGAAGTCTAAGGATCCTATTTAATTTTAAACCATTTTTTAGTATACTTGAAAAGTTGATCAATCTAAGTAATAGGAGTCTTGTAGATTAAACTGTTGTATAAAGACAGAAAGGGCTTTCTTTTTATATTATTTTCTTATTGGAATTGGAAATAAACATATCAGCTCATTAAAAAAGATATTGTAATATTTTTAGATTATTTACACTAGTCGAAATTATTTCATTTGGTACTAATACCATTCGGCTAACATTCAGCTGATTCGGTCATATGATTTGGTAAAATTCGGCTTAAGTTATAAAAATCGATAGTTATTTGTTACATTGTACATAATTTAGCATTATTTCAGCACTAATACCATTTGGTAAACATTCAGCGGATTTGGTCATGTGATTCAGCAAAATTCGGCTTAAGTTACAAAAATTGATAGTTATTTGTTACATTGTACATAATTTAGCATTATTTCAGCACTAATACCATTTGGCAAACATTCAGCTGATTCGGTCATGTGATTCAGCAAAATTCAGCTTAAGTTACAAAATCGATAAAAAATTATGATACACACATAATTTAGCATTATTTTTATACTAAGACCTTTCGGCAAACATTTAAATGATTCAGTTCAGCAAAATTTCAGTTATTCTTTAAAAATCAACATGAAAATTATAATAAATTAACTGTTATTTGTTATATTGTATATAATTCAGCATTATATTAATCAGGTTTTGGTTTATTATGAAAATTTATATTACAGAATAAAAGTTAACAAATATAGAATTTACAATTTATCAGATTTATGGCTAAATATTCAACGGCATTTAGACAAGTAGAAATTTTATATTTTACTGGTACAAATCGACAAAGAATATTATACACTGG